TTTTTTTTCTCTGTATAGCTCTGACTGTCCTTGGAACTCACTCTGTAGACAACGCTGGCCTTAAACTCAGAGATGCGCTTGCCTGTGCCTCCCCAGTGCTGGGATGAAAGGTGGGTGCCACCACCATCTGGCTAGATTGACTTTATAATGCTTGGGTTTTTTTTTTAATTCCTGTCTCACTTAATATTATGCTATTGTATTTATTTATTATTTTTATTGTTTCTCTTCGTTTGAAGGATTTCTTCTGATATCCAATTTCAGTGTGGTTTTTTCAATGTTTTTCTCTATGGAATTCCTTTTTTTATTTAACTTTATTTTATGTGCATTGGTGTGAAGGTATCAGATCCCCTGGAACAGGAGTTACAGACAGTTGTGAGCTGTCGGGTGGGTACTGAGAATTGAACCAGGTCCTCTGAAAGAATAGCCAGTGTTCTAGCTGCTGAGCCATCTCTCTAGCCCCATAGCTTATATTTTCATAGCTTATATTCTCTTATTTGCTTCAGCAATAGTGTTCTCTTGGAATTTGTTTAGGAGTTTGTGTGGATTTTGCTTTCTCAGTTCTTTTTCTGAAGTTTCATCTAATCCACTCACTACAGGTTGAAGATTTTGAGAGGAGTAATGTCACCCTGCTTTTTTTTTTTTTTTTTTTTTAAATCTGGTCATTGGTTGGATTTGATTTTTTTTTTCCCCCAGCTATCTTTCTTGTATCAAGTTGCAGTCTTGTTTTCCACAGCTGGACTGGTAGCCAAGTCATCAGGCGTGGTCTCCAGTCTTACCTTGCTATGAAAATACTGTCTGCAGAATTAATCACTATCAAAGGGCAATCTGTAATGAACATATAGTAATGGGTTATAGTACTGCATATGCCTGGCACATTAGTTACTTTGGATGCGAATGGGAAGACAAAAACCAACCTCAGTAACACTAGTGACTAGTCTGTGTGTACAGAAAAAGAAGGGGCAGTGCATCTAGCAAAGGGAATGGGAAGAGTGGAGGCCAGAGAGGCTGACGTCATACAGTCAAATGACAGGCTCCTACATCCTGCCCGCAAAGAACAACAGAAAAGAGAGAGCATGGTGGGGTAGAATATGAAAGCAGTGTAGTGTTTCTTGATTTCCTGTATTCTGCCAGATAGAGAACTGAGGTAGATTTGAGACAAAACCTTGTTTGTTTTCATCAATCAAAGAACTAAACTACATTCTTGCTGCTTTCTTCCATTGTGTAGAAACTATTCTTCCGTTTGGCTTCCCAGTTGTTTCAGTGTGGAAAGGACTGTACTCCTAAGAGAAAAGGAGGGTCTAATGGGTCATCAGATAGCGCTTGCAGAGGACCCAGGTTATTAAGGACTGTACTCCCTGCTTACCTTACTAAGAGAAAAGGAGGGTCATCAGATAGGAGCGCTTGCAGAGGACCCAGGTTATTAAGTTTATATAAATTAAAATTGATATAATTGAATTTATAAAATTACCCCTCACCGAGTTTCTTAGTGTTTGGACTAGAAGTCTTAGAAAATGTAGAAATTATTAAATTTAGGAGCTCTTGAAGAGGACCCAGGTTAATTATTAAGATTTAAAAGTAGAAATCTTAGTGTAGATAGCATTGCTTAAAGCAGATTCTTTTAGTAGGTCTCAGGCAGGACATTTGCTAAGGATTTATTTTTATCCTTATTGTAGTTAGTCACTTTTTCTGCGTCCTTTTAAGATTTATTTTATGAGTATGAGTGCTTTGCCCGCATGAATGTCTATGCAACTCACACATGCCTGGTGCCTGTGGAGCTTAGAAGAGGGAATCTGGTCCCCTGGAACTGCAGTTGTAGGTGGTTGTGAGCCATCGAGTGGGTAATAGTAACTAAACATGGGTCCTCTGCAAGAGCTCGTAACTGCTGGGCCCTCTCTCTGGACCTCCTTTCTCAGTCGTCCACTCTAACATAGCAGTCCACAAAACAAGCTAGTAAATAGTGATTTAAGCTCCTTAGATATTGAAAACATGTTACATACTTAGAAAGATATGTCCATCCTCAGATAGGAAAACAGGGCAATGTTGTGGGACAGGCCCAGTGGAAACTGAAGAGACTCTCAGAACTGGTTCTAAGTTAAGGTGGCATCAGTGAGGGGTGGTCAGCCTGGATGAGTCATACAAAGACCATGAAGAAGAATGAACTCAGAATAAGTTTGAGGAACAAGCTTGTGTGGGTTGGTATGCTTTTCTGCCGTGAGGATCAGAGCTCTGGGAATTCAAATATCAGCCATTTGGGGCATGCCCAGTGAGAGTTAATAGTTATAAGGACAGTTTACATTGTCAGAAAATAGAGTTTGATTCTGATTTTGTAATGTTGTTTTAGTTCCTGTGACCTAAAGTACACAGAAGGAGTACAATCCCTCAACTGGACTAAAATCATGAAGACCATTGTTGATGACCCTGAGGGCTTCTTTGAACAAGGTGGCTGGTCTTTCCTGGAACCTGAGGGTGAGGTGCGTGAGTGTGGGGTTTCTTTTTAGTTTGGTATGCAGTGTTGCCTAATGTCATCTAGGCACGGAAGGGAATGACATCTGAAGGTAGGAATAAAGGGCCTGACCAGCAGAGAGAAGCTGAAAGCACAGCATGGTATTATTGTTTCTTTAGGTTAGTTTTGTAGGTAAACGATGAATTCATTGGGCATTGGTAGTCACTAGCCACATTGCTTTAATTTATAAAATTATTCCTCACAAAGTTTCTTAGTGTTTGGAGGAGATGGGACTGAGGCTTATTACAAAAAGTACTTCAAAGAAAATTGTCCTCCTGAGGCTAAAGAAATCACTCAACAGTTAAGAGCACTGCCTACTCATCCAGGGGACCCGAGTTAAATCCTACCACCTACATGGTAGCCCACAGCCATCCAGCTCTAGTTCCAGAGGAGTTGAAGCTCTTTTCTATCTCCATAGCACTGCCACACACGGCTCATAGGCATACATGTAGCAGATTCTCATACATACAAAATTTGGAAGAAAAAAAAATCTTTAAAAAATAAATAGCCCCCAACTGTGGTGATACACACCTTTAATGTCTGCACTCAGAAGGAAGGAGGTATCTGAATTCAAGACTAACCTAGTCGTATAGAAAGTGTCAGGTGAGGGCTACACAGTGAGGCCATGTCCAAAAATAAATTTTTATTTTTAATTAAAAACCTATTTTAAATAGAGCTCCTACTTTGGCATAGTGCATTAATACAAAGTGTATTTCTGTCATTAATTTCTACAGATAAAAACAGATGAATTGGCTGTTTGAGAATATAATAAGTGTACTTTAATGAATAATTTTAAGACAGATACTTTATTTCTTGGTCATTTGGCTCTCTTGAGTTTTTATATATGAAATGCTAGTGGACTGAGTATATTGAATTACTTTATTAATAAACAAATATGAGAAAAGTAGTAAATGGGTCTTATGCTTTCTGAACTTCACCAGGGAAGTGATGCTGAGGATGGGGATTCTGAGTCCGAGATTGAAGATGAGACTTTTAATCCTTCTGAGGATGACTATGAAGAGGAAGAAGAGGACAGTGATGAAGATTATTCGTCAGAGGCAGAGGAATCAGGTTAGAGAATACTTGTTGCACTATATAATGACTCAGTGTTTGGAGCAGCACTCGCTCTTAAAGCCGGTCACACTCACTTGACATAGCACTAGGGGTGACGGGGGGGGGGGGGACATCCTTCTCCAGCCTCCCCATGCACAGGACACATGAGTTTTAAAAGGAGAAGACATCTATCATGGCTTCCTCATCTGATATCATTCCTAGAGATTGCTTTTAGAAAAGGAAAATATTCAATATTCTATTGCATTTCTGCATTAGTAATGTGCACTCAATATTTTTCCAGACTATTCCAAGGAATCTCTGGGCAGTGAAGAAGAAAGCGGGAAGGACTGGGATGAGCTAGAAGAAGAAGCTCGAAAAGGTTATTTTAAAATTTGTTGTTTTGGGTGACTTACTCATTTAATTTGTGTACAAATGCCTGACGCTATTCTTTGTTTTGAGATGTTAATGTTAGAAGCCTATGAGGATTGGAAAGATGGCTATAAAATTATTTGGGCAGAAGGTTAGGGAGACGGCTCAGTTGGAAACGTGATTGCCGTTCAAGCTTAGGAACCTGGGTGTGGGGCCCTAGAACCCTTACATAAAATTTGGACACAGTAGTGTATGCTTGTAATCGCAGTGCTGGGGAGGCAAAAGTATGAGAATCCTTGGGCCTTATTGGCTGGCCTGTCTACGCCAAGTTCAGTTCCGGACCTTGTCTCCTGAGACGGTGAGCAATTGAGGGAGACAGCTGATGTCAGCCTCTGCTCTGCGTGCTTCCCCAAACACGGGCACACAGAATGCATACATGTACATATGAGGAGAGGTAAGACTGTGCCCTGAAGCTCCAGGTGGGCTTGATTCCATCTCTGTAATCTTCTCACTGTGCACAGCAGTGTAATTCCCCAGTCAGAAAGTTAGAATTAGGAATATTGTCTAGTTGGTGTTGATGTCATTACTTTAAAGCCAAGCCCCAAATAGAAGTTATTAAAAGTTAGCATTATGTGTTAGCATTGTGCTAAGTGCTTTGGGCAGGTAGCCTCTGAATGCTCCTTGTAAATAAGCTCACTTGTGTGGATCCTGTAACTAGTGCTGACCAGATGGAGAGAGACACTCAGGGTGACAGACTGGCTCGTTCAGTTGATAGATAGTACGTGTCTTGAGCTAATGAATCACTCTGCCTTCTGCTTAGCGGACCGTGAAAGCCGTTATGAGGAGGAAGAAGAACAGAGTCGAAGTATGAGCCGGAAGAGGAAGGCATCTGTACATAGTTCAGGCCGTGGCTCAAACCGTGGTTCCAGACACAGCTCTGCACCCCCCAAAAAGAAGAGAAAGTAATATGAACCTTGGTCCTCTGCTCCATTCTCTCTGCAGACAACTCCTAACAATCCGACATGACATAGAAACTGTTTCTCCTTTTGGTTTCATTGAAGTTTTGCCATTTGTGTTTATGGGTTTAGGGGCCATTTGTGTGGACCAAGCTATTCGGGGAATTCCAGGCCCACCAGGACATGTGCCAGTGGCCCCACTCAGATGGCTGGCAAAGGAGGCGATGTTGAAGGGCAGGAGGCTCCTCCCACCCTTGATACCGTTTGTTTTCTTTTGACAACCTATCTTTGGTGTTTCAAAGCTGAATTACCAAGACAGTGGTATGAGCTGACCATTAACTATTTCTACTATGGTTCTTTTTCTTTGCATTTTTATTTTTTCATGGCTTTTTGAGACAGTCTTGCTATGTAGCTGTGGCTGACCTTGAAGTCACTGTAAACCAGGCTGGCCTCAAACTTGTAATCCTCTTGCTCTGCCTCCCAAGTGCTGGGATTGCAGGCCTGAGCCGCCATCCTTAGCTGAAGCATGGTTCTGGCCCCTCAGGTTTGCTTTTAAGTTCCGATCTGAAGTTCTCAAGAAAGGTTCTTGGGCTTTGCTAATGATTGTGATACACACAGCTGAGCTAACGGCATTGTGGGCTGACGGCTGGCCTTAAGTTTTCCTGGTTTCTTGCTTCATGCGTATTTTGAGGCATTTCTGCTGCCTTGGAAGACATGAGTACTGGAACTCCATGGCTGGGTTATCTCCTTCCTATGCTGGAAGGCACAGTTACCACTGTCTCTCCTGCCACAGCTAAGGAAGAATGGTCATGCCTCGTCCTGCAGGTGAGATCTAGAGGGAGGCTCAAGGGAGTCAACACAGTCATGCCTTGGCATAAAATATCTTGACAAGAAGAGAACAGGAGCAGGCCATACTACAAGGCTGGACTCTGCTGCTCCTGCCTTTCCTTTCTCTGCAGTATCTTATGTTGGTCACTTGTGATGATCAGCTTTGAAGCACTGGGGGACTTTATCTTGCCGTCCTCCCTGCAGGCTCCCTGCATCCACCTGTCCACTTCGCCTCTTCTGCTGTGACTCTAAGAGAAGGGGCTTCTCAGATTTTATGTTTGTTTGTTTTCTCTCCTTAGCAGTAGGACTTGATATTTTGAATTTTGGAAGAACTAAAAGATAAATAAACCGGGATTTTTTTGTTTTTGTTTTTTGTAAATTTGTCTTTTATGACCATTTCTTTGCAGTTCCTGAAATCAAGTTTTGCATACTAGAATGTTAAGATGTTAGAACAAAATGCCTTTATCCAACTAGTACCACAGAAGTTCACTGGTGGCTGTGAGCCTTGCCATTAGTTTGAGAAACAGACAGCAGATAGCACAGGAGACCAGGTTTGTGGCATAGCATGTTCCTTTATAGGAGATTCCCTCAGATCTTAGAGTGGAGTAGCTCTTTCATGAGTCATTTCCTTGTAAATGCTATGGAGGGCAGCAGCTGCACGAAGGGAAACCTTCAGCCTTCCGATTTGGATGGCCTGGTCTCCAGGGCTCACAACTGTGGAGAAGGATAGAGACGTTAGGCAGCCACAGTGTTCCATTTACACAAGGTCTCACTCTAGCCCTGGCTGACCCATAACTCACTATATAGACCAGGCTGACCTCAGATTTAGAGGTGGTGCCCTTGCCTGCTAAGTGCTGGGATTAAAGGTCTATACCATCACACCCATTCAGTTATACACTTTCATATATACCTGCTGTCTGTCACATGCAGTGATGGCTCCTTTCATAAGAAAGTGAAGCCAGAATAGAGAAGAAAGGGTTTTTAGGACTGGACAGATGACTCAGTGGGTGAAGACCCCCAGAACCTACAGAGTGGAAGGCAAGAAACTGAGCCCTACAGATTGTCCCCTGACATTCACACATGTGTACACATGCATAATAAATGTTTGGGTTTTTTTTTTTTAAAGAGCAGTATTTTTCTCCACTCCTGGGATTGAGGCCAAACAAGCATAGACGTAGTCCAGAATTAAATACATATAGCTGTTAAGGAAAGACTTCGCAGCAGACAATGTCAACAGGTTAGCAGTTACACTGGTAGGTTATTTTCTCCGAATAAATGGAACTAAGAAGCATAAAATTGTATTGCTCACTCTCTAGTTCTTGCTCTAGGGCATCTCTTCCAGATTCAAGCACCTGCCACAGTTCAAGGTACGCATAGCCTACATCTTGACATTCTTGCTTTTCTTCATCCAGAGGATCACTTACCACTGTAAACTTTAAACTGAAAATAAATTGAAAGGAGTTCATTTAACTCAGCACTGTTATGAACACATGGAATCCCACTGTGGAGGCAGAGGCAGTTGGATCTCTGAGTTCAAGGACAGCCAGGGCGACAAAGTGAAACCCCACCCCCAAAAGTAATCATGGAGTTTGGAGAGGCTGCTCATGGAATAAAAGCATTGGCTACTCTCTCTGAGGACACAGGTTTGACCACCAGCACCCACCTGGTGGCTCGCATCATTTATCACTACTGTGACAGCCTCTGTGGGCACACCACGTGGTACAGACGTGGCGGGTAAACACCCATACAAGTAAAATAAAAATGGAAAAGTAATCACAAATAGTAGTGTTTTCCCTGAATCTGAATCCCATCCTCTGCCTCCTTCTATTTCCTAAGGAGCCAAGAGTCAGGTGGAAATCAGAACACCATGTGTATCCTGGGGATTGAACTCAAGCCATTAAATTTGGAAGCAAGCTCTTTTACTACCTATTAATCTGTCTCAGCTTTTTTTGAGACAATCTCATATAGCCCAGGCTGGCCTGCAACTCGCTACATAGCTGAGACTGGCCTCCTGCCTCTACTTCCTAAATGCTCCAACTGCAGGTATGTGCCAACCCTCCTGACTCATTAACCTTTGAAAAGAAAAGTGTTGTTAGTTCTAAAGACCACCTCCCCTCGCTGGAGCAGAGCAGCGTGCACCCGTACAGTGAACCTCAGTACTGTGAAAGAGTCCCCAAGTCTACAGAAAGCCAGCTTACTGACTTTGTTATGGGCTTGAGACAAGACCAACTACTGTGGAAAATCTGTCACTCTTGAAAGGACATTGGAGCAACACTGCAAAGACCACAGAGCCAGAAGTGGGGGTTGGGATTGAAAACCAGCTCTGACAAAGAGGTGCAAACACCAAAGGCAAAGTCAGCTGAAACCTAACACGAAGCAGAAGAAGGAAAGCAATGGTTTTTAAAAGCCAAAGGAAGAAGTAGACATACAGACAAAACACCCATGCACATGAGTATAAGTTTTATAAAATTTTGTTTTTGTGAACCATATGCATGGTGCCTGCAAGAAGCCAGAAGAGGGTTTTAGATCCCCTGAATGGAATTATAGATAGTTGTGAACTGTTGTGTGGGTACTAGGGGTCACACCTGGGTCCTCTGAAAGGGCAACCAGTGTTGCTGCTGAGCCATCACTCCACCTCACACATACAATTTTTAAAGTATTTTAAAATATACGTATAAACCAGGTGGTGGTTCACACCTTTAATCCCAGCATTCCGGAGGCAGAGGCAGGCGGATCTGTGAGTTCAAGGTCAGCCTGGTCCACTGAGAACGAGTTCCAGGACAGGCTCCAAAGCTACAAAGAAACCCTGTCTCCAAAAAAAAAAAAAAAAAAAAAAAATCCAAATGATCTGTTTGCTCAATGTAGAACACTATCAAGAATCGCAATGTTGCTTTTACCCACATACGAGTCCCTGCCACCAGTGAAATACGAACTAAACCTAGACTGAACGAGCAGTCAGATGGGGGAGTCGAGAAGAAATTAAGTTGTTAAAGTATTAGCGTAAGTGCAGAACTGAACTCAGACTGTAAATGTTGTCTGAATGTCTGCATTGGCAGTGTGAAGTGGCTCACCGTCCCTCTTCAGGATCTTGAGCATGCAGCATGGCAAACAGAAACTGCCTTCTGCCGTGTTGTTCCACTGGATCCAGGTCTATCACTGTATGAAAGGTAAAGAAAAAGAACACAGGGATGAGGGTGTAGCTCAATGGTACAGTGTTTGCCTTGTGTGCAAGAGGTCCTAGACGGGGAAAGGCTGCTGTGGCTGTTTCCAAACAGGACGCTCATGACCGACGCCAACACAGGCAAAGGAGGCTGTGTCATAGATGTCACTGCAGATGGCTAGGCTTGCGCTGGCTGTGTCAGGGGTGCACTTGGGAGGCAGAGGCTGGCCAATCTGAATTTGATACCAGCTTGGTCTAAAGCGAGTTCCAGGACAGTCTAGGCTGTTACACAGAGAAATGCTGACTTGAAAAACCAAAAAGAAAATAGGTAAAATTGGAGCTGAAGAGATGACTCAGGTGAAGAGCATTGAGAGTCCAGGTTCAGTTCCCAGCACCCACTGGTAGCTAACTACTATCTGTAACTCCTTCCAAGGGAATCTTCTGACCTCTGCAGGTCCTGCATGCATGTGATGAACAGACATACATGTGGGAAGAATACCCAGACATGAAATAAAAAGAAGTCTAAATAAAAATTAAAAACAAAAAGTAGCTCAAATCATGTGTGCATACTATCTGTGGCTGCCTGCCTCCGTGTATATATTTATATACAAATACATATATTTGGTATGTAGATACCAAATATATTGAGCTATTTATCAATCAAATAGGATGGTAGGAAAATATGCCTGCCTTTCCCCAAAAATATTTATTTAATTCCAGTATCCCTTCCTATGAAAGGTACTGAGAAACTCTATTAAAATAAACCAAAATAAAATAAAAAAAAAACCCAGGCATGGTAGTGTTTGCCTTTGTTTCCAACACTCTAGAGGCAGAGGCAGGCAGAAAATGTCAAAGGAAAGTTAACTGAAGCAAGTGAAGGTACTTGGCACTGCAAGAATTAATATATATTCTAGAATAACAAATAATAATTGAAATAAAAATTATGACACACGAGTGAAGGACATGGATGTAGAGTTGTGTAGCTTAAAATTTTTATGAGATCTGAATATCTACAACTAATATATTGTAGAATTTCAGTGGAAATATTTAGATATATGAGTAATTCTTAAAAATAGCCAAAAAAAATTGAAGAGCCTTTACAGAGAGTTCAGTCGTGGGGTGGAGGCAGGAAGGGTGATCTGTTGAGAAACTGGAACAAATTACTGCTTAACTAAGATGTTTCCCAGGCTTACTTGATTTTTAAGCCATGTGCATATACTACTTTGGTAAATATGTTAACTAGGGAAATGGTTGGATTCACCTGCACCCCAGCCAATGTCTGGTTGCCTCCTGTGCCCACTCACCCTGCAGGAGCGCTCACCCTTGTTAAAGTGGAAGTGGATTTCCTCTCCTGCCCTAGGTTTCCTCAGGGACACCGGAGTCTCTGTCTCTGACAGCGGCAGATCATAGAACTTGTACTCTACATACACCTGCTGTATGTTCTCGTCAGACAAGACTTCAGCCTCTGGGCAGAAGGCCAGGGAGACAATCTCAATGCACATCTTCTCTGAATCCTGAAATGGAAATATTGATTTCCTAAAGGTCAGTGGGGCTGCAGTGTTCACACAAAGCTCTGGAAAACCGTCACAGCACACCACAAGAACCCATTTACTGACAGTTCACAGGCAAAAGGGTTACCAGCAGACAACTGGATGAAACTACCACAGAGTCACGGGACGTTCTATCCCCTGCTGAGTCCACACACGAAATGAAGAAGCTGGTCTGCTTCAGCTCCCTTTTTAAAGTCACTGCTACACCCGCCTCTCTTTTCATTGTTCTTTGTCTACCATGACACAAGAGCTGTCAGAAGATTGACGTTTGTCTAGTTTCCAAAAGTATACAAGCGAACATGAGCCCTCCTGCAGAGTGGCAGCCAGTCAGCATCAAGCCATGGTGCCCAAGCACCAGCCTCTACCCTGCCTATTTCCAGAAACAAGTGGAGCTTCTTAGTCTTGAGAGGGGTGCAGCGGGCACAACCCGCCCCCCACCCCCGAATGAGTCTGCATTGCAGTCGAATGGGCTGCTTCTTCAAAATGGCTTGTTTGCAGTTTTCTTCTCAGGAACCCACACAAGGAAACCATTGACTTTTCTTTCTCTGTTTCTCACTACCGCTCTTCAAAATGGAAGAATAAGAGAAGATAGATTTGAAGAGTGGCGAGGAGGTTCTGAGGTCCAGCTGCCACATGCCTCATAGCCATCTGACTCTAGGTTCCAGAGGACCTGACTCCCACTTCAAGCCTCCAGTGGCACCAGACGTACATGTGGTACACAGACATACGTGCACACAAAACACCTTCACACATGAAATAAAAATAAATCTTAAAAAAAGGGCAAAGCAATAAAAATAAAATGCATTAGAGGACACACAGACTAGAACACCGTTGTTAAGATCAGCCTGTGTCCCACTCTAAAAACTGGCTTTTCAGGCAGGCCCCTGCCCTGAGAGACTCCATATTTTAGGTTGAAAGACAACTGTGTACCTGCATGGACACGTGACTGGCACCATCTGTCCAGTACTAACACGTGGGGCAGACTGATGAGTTATTCCTGGGCAAACTGACTCTCTAGGAACATATGGGCATTTTGGAAGCATATTGGGAAAGCAGGCCTGAGGAGTTATCAGAAATGCCAGCCTGAGGAAATGTAACTCTCATCTGAGCCCTGCCAGTCCTCTGACGTCTAACAATCTGATGTGTATGTCGGGACCGACAGGCGAAGAATTCCCAGCAGTCCCCAGGGCTTTCGTTAGCCATGTGAGGAGGCGACCAATCTGCTTAAATTGCTGTCAGCCAGTCAGTTTCACCATCTCTGCCTGTCCTCCACCTCCCTCCTGCAGCTCAGCTCATCAGTGCAGCTCCTGTCCGGAGGACCCGGCAGGTTTGTCATCTCACAGCCGAGGGCTCAGGCTGTGTCACTCACCAGTTTCTCTGCTCTGAAACTGCTTGAATTTTGTTGTGGCCTCCTAACCCTTTACAGTCTTCTTAAAGATTTATTTATCTCTGCCTGTATGCTACCTGCAAGTCAGAAAAAGGCACCAGATCTCATTATGGTTGGTTGGCAGTCACCATGTGGTTGCTGGGAACTGAACTCAGGACTTCTGAAGAGCAGCCAGTGCTCTAAACTGCAGAGCCTTCTCTCCAGCCTGACCCCTTTACAGTTTTTAAAGTAATATGTAATGTATGGTTTGAGAGTTAGTGTCAATAATCAACACTGGAATAAAAGAACTTATGCTCTCCCCACAGGGCTATCAAGGAAAGCAAGGTTATCTGGTAAATTGCTTCTACTGAAACAACTTGTGAATCTGTTATTCAAGGAATTCAGAGCCAGGCCGTGGCGGCTTAGGAGGCAGAGGCAGGTGGATCTCATTGAGTTAAAGGCCAGATTGATCTACAAAGCAAGTTTCAGGACAGCCAGGGCCACACAGAGAAACCCTGTCCTGGAAAAACAAAACAACAATAACAAGGCCCCTGCTCGGGACTCCTCTGAGAAGCCTGCACCCATGATCTGCCTTATTCTTTTCTTCAGTGCCTTTCTCTGTACTTCAGTAAACTTCATCAGCTTCATATTCTTTTCTGTGCTGAAGCCACTGATACTGATTTTGCCTACATGAGGTCTGTGACATAGCTCCTCAGGCTGCGGCTGCTGCAATAAGGGTTAGACATTAATTACTGAAGGCAATATTCTCCTTACTGTGCAGTCTGGAACTTGTATTTCATAAACCTGTGTTCTTAAGAAAAGAAAAAGAGGTGGGAGTAGGGGACAGTGAGATGGCTCAAAACATAAAGGAAGGGACTAGCTGTCAAGCCTGGCAACCTGAGCTCAATCCCTGGGACATGCACGGTAGAGAAGGACACCCCAACTCCTGCAGGTTGTGCTCTAAACTGAGTTCAATCCCTGGAATGCACATGGTAGAGAAGGACCTCCCCATATCAGGATTTTTGAAGCTGTACCAAATGCATCTTTGCATTAGGATATGACTACAAGCCTATGGAGGCCAGGGAGGGGAGTATGGTGGTTAATGGCTCCGTGAACTCATATGCTTGACTGTTTGGTCCTCGGTTTGGGAATGTTTAGGAAGTATGGCCTTATTGGAAGAGGTGTGTCACTGGAGGTGGGTTTCGAGGTTTCAAAAATCCACACCAGAACCAGTCATGTTCTCTCTCTCTCTCTCTCTTTGCCTGCAACTGTGGATCAGGTGTGAGCCCTCAGTTGCTTCTCCAACACTGCGTGCCAGCCTGCTGGCCATGCTCCCCACCACAATGTTCATGGGCTTCTCCCACCAATAGGACCTCTATGCTCATAGACCACAAGGCAAGTTCAAGGCTGGATCTCAACACTATGAACCTCTCAGCCTCCCAACCCTAAGTTAAGGAGAGAGATCAAGAAAATGACCCACATACAGACCACTCTGATGGAGGGAATTATTCCGTTGAGGCTCCCTTGTTGCAGGTGATTCTATTTTGTATCAAGTTGACAAAACTTAACCAAAACAAAACAAAACAAAACAGGGACCAAAGCAAGTGTGGGTAGTTCATGCCTGAAATCCCAGAACTCAGGAGGATTAGGCCTGGCTGCTACAAAAAAAGTCTGATGCAAGTTTGGGCTTCAGTATGAGCTCCTGTCTCAAACAAAACAAAACAAGGGAGAGGACCGAGCCTGACTCATTAATCATTCTGTGTGCCCAGAGCCCGCTGCTAAAGTGAGCATTCCATAATCACTTGTAAGGAGAATGAGCAGTTGAGGGTGATGTAAGATGATGAACATCCAACATGTGTGTGGCACACGGCACGGAAGCTCAGTCAGCAATACCCAGTAGAATTCTGTCTAAATTAAAGGTCATATATCCCTCTAATTGAATACTGATTATCAGTTAAAAGGAAGGAATGAGCTGGACATGGTGGTACATAACTTTAGTCCCAGCCCTCGGGAGGCAGAGGCAGGAGGATCTCTGTGAATTTCCAGGCCAGCCTCAGAGAGATAGTGAGACCATTGTGAACAGACACCATGTCCAAGGCAACTCTTCTATATTTATTTGTATCTTATGTACTTTGATGTTTTGCCCACATGCATATACATATACACAGTAAGGGTGTCAGCCCACATGCATATACATATACACAGTAAGGGTGTCAAATCCCCTGAAACAGGAGTTATAGACAATTGTGACCTACCGTGTGGGTACTGGGAATTGAACCCAGTTCCTCTGGAAGAGTGGCCAGTGCTGTTAACCACTGAGCCATCTCACCAACCCCACCAAGGCAACTCTTACAAGAAGAGGCTTGCTTACAGTTTCAAAGGCTTAGTCCATTATAATTATGGCAGAGAGCATGCAGCACATAGGTGAGGTGCTGGAGAAGCAAGTACATCCTGATGCACAAGGAAAGAGACCGAGCGAGGTGGGGGAGAGAAAGAGAGAGAGAGAGGAAGAAGAGGAAGAGGGGTCAAAAACTGCAGAAACTGAAACATTTTTCTGAGCCCTCCACTGCTGCGGAAGTACCTTCCGCTCCTTCAGCCAATAGTCACTGAAGTACGAGCCCACTGGGGCGTGGTATATTTCTCTTTAAAAAAGAGCGGCAAGTCTCGGCTCTGCCTCTTGGTTCTGGTGCTTGGTTCCGGCTGCTGCTCCAGTGACTAGGTTCCTTCCCTGATGGTTTGTGTGTGTGTAAGTTTTACCCCCCAAAATAAATACCCCCTTTAAAACCTAACTGGTGTGGGATTGATTCGCCATTACTCCACGAAGAAAACCTTCCTTTCTTCCAGTCTCCATCTCCTCCGTGAAGTCTGCTAACCTGAAAAATGACCTCAGCTGAGCTGGGTGTCAACAAGGCCACAGAAAGGGAAGCCTGCATCACTGCAGCAGACGTCACCACGTGCAGCCACTCAGCGCTCTGTTACCCGTTACTCTCCTCTAACAGGCAATGGTCACCACAGGTACTTACAGCTTTGGGACACGACTGAGACTGGGGTGTCACTATGATGTCATCACTGTCGAGAGTCTGGGCTTCACTCACTTCAGAAGCTTGTCCAGAGGATTCTTGATCTGCTAGAGGAGAGGTTGAATTGCAGAACACATTCAAAACACTTCCTCCACTCCACG